CCACTACTATTCTACAGTTTTACATTTTCAAATTAAGAAACCAAACAACTTTGTAAAGAAAGACCAGTGAGAGACAGATGGTCAGACTTAGCACAGTTGGGCACTGGTACTGTTAACACTGATACAGTGCTTATTATGCAAAGTTATAGTTTATTCTTAAAAATATTTAAAATTACACCCACAAAACTTCAAATTGGATGTTACTGAAAGTTCAATACAATTATAATTCTTTCCAATAAAGCATGTGGCACTCAAAAAGTTGTCTCAATATAATTTAAATTACACATGTTTAATGCAAAAAAGCTAGAAAAGCTCAGCAGGTCTGGTAACATCTGTGGAGAGAAATCAGAGTTGACGTTTTGGGTCGAGTGACCCTTGAAAAAAGATACTGCCCAAAAAGTTTGAAGCAGTTTCTAGCCTCTCAGTGTAGTGTGACAAACAGACATGAGGTAGTGTCCGCTCCCTACTGTGGCATTACAGCAGCTGCCCTGAGCTTTAGTGCATTCCTCAGCACGCAGTCCTGGACGTTGGAATGTGCCAGTCTACCACAGGATTGTGAACAACTCTTTGCACTGGAAGACCAATAGATTTTGGGCAGACCAAAGAACGACTATCAATGAAACAATTGTCCTCCAGCAGCAACTGATGCTTCTCTCAGAGTTCATCTCCAGATATAGCCCATAGAGTACCGAGGCCTGAGTCACTTAGTTAGTTGGGATGAGCCTTGGCCAAAATGTTCTACTTCTTTACAGACGTTCTTTGCAAAGGCAGAGCCTAGAGGAGGTGGACAGCGGTCCCTTCCCCAACAAATGCCTCAACGGCACCAGCGATAAATCAGCCACTGGTACGGTCAGAGTAGCTGTAATCAGACGGAGTACAGTCAGCCCCTGGTACAGTCAAAGCTGGGAGTCAAACACAGCTCAGTCACTGATTATAGTTAGGCCCAGTGCTATTAGACTCATTCTGGTCAGTCCTGATAATGATCAGATCCAATCTTGGTCTTTCCCAAGGTGTTTTTACTCGCCTGCCCATTTTACTCCACATCTGATTTTCAACAGTGTGAAACAGGCTGGTGATTTGTTATTAGTCCGTTTTGCACAGCTTCTGATGACAAATTTCACCTGTCTGTATAGAGTTCTCCTCGAGCACCTTTATAACTGACAAGGGAGTCAAGGGCTATTGGGGGCTGACAGAAAACTGAGTGTTAAGGCCAAATTCAGATTAGCCATGATCATATCAAATGGCACAGCAGGATTGATAGGCTCAGAGATAGTAGGAACTGCAGATGCTGGAGAATCTGAGATAACAAGGTGTAGAGCTGGATGAACACAGCAGGCCAAGCAGCATCAGAGGAGCAGGAAGGCTGACGTTTCGGACCTAGACCCTTC